TACTACAATACAAGCCTACAAGACAATTAAAATTTAAGAAATAATATTACCATCTCAAATGTATTTCAATTTCTTTTACAAGCCGATGAGCTAGTTGTCAAGCCCAAAATCTTCATTGTCATCTTCCTCAACTCGGGAGTATTGTTTCCATAAAGCCTTAACTAGTTAATTCATAATTGAAAAATTTTAGTAACTTATAAATTCAAAAAAGAGATGAACGAATTAATTTGAATGAGAACATAAATTTACCCGGACAATCACCATTAGTAGCTTCTCGCCTCGCAAATTGATCCCCAAATAACCCTAGGTGTTCTTGATAATTAGGTATTTGATCTCCAATCTTTATGAAAGTCGCATGGTCATCGGGATAAAGTCTATGCATACACTCCACCACGGCTTTCATGAAGCTTCTGTCACCTTTAATGTCCGTGTATGCCAGGTAATAGAAAAAGGATTCAAAAAGTAACCTGTTTTATGTAGCGTTTCACTAAGATTCTTAAATCTCGTCTCAATCATTTTCAATATGGGATTGTACTTCTTCTCATCAACCCCAATGGCCACTTTCAACTCCATAGCCACCAACATGTCCCCATATATAAATCTCATCGAACCGATTTTATCACCATCCGCTCTTCGAAGAACCTTTAGTAGAGGAGTGAATACTTTGAGGGCAAAGTCTATATTATCCCAAAACTTGTTGCTAGCAATTATCTCCGCAACCTACAAACATACAAAAAATCCAATCAATGAAATATAAATGATCAAACGAATAAAATGAATATAAAATATATCTTTTTGCCAACCGATGTTCTTGAAAGGCTACAATCTGTCTATTGGTCAGAGATAAACAGTTGTCTCATCTCTTTCTTATGATCTCTTAATGACTGTAAAGAAAAGAACGTCGTAACAAATCTCGTAACCCTCGGTCTCACAAGATCACTCTTAGTGAACTCCATAAATAATTGAAGAGGCTTGGTGATTATATAAGAACACTGATACACTCCCCATTAAAATGGCATTACGAATGGGTTTTATCTTAGCTATATCGGACAACATTAAGTTCACTATGTGCAGCACAAGTCGTCCAAAATATATTTGACCTCTTCTCGACCAACTTAGAAACCGTCATATTGTTTGAAGCTCCATCTGTGACTATCTGCACCACATTTGCCTCCTCTATCTGATCAATAATATTGTCTACAAAGTCACAGAGATACTGAGCATCGTACTTATCGGCCGATACATCATGTGAAGAAAAAAAACAAGCTCTCCCAGCAAAATGTACAACTATGTTCATGATGCTTCTAGACTTCCGATCACTCCATACATCGGACATTAACGAGCAACCATTGACAACACAAGTCCTTTTAAAGTTTTCAACAAATTTTTTGTCTCATCCACTTCTTATTGCAAATATATCTCACTCAGTTCATACATCAATGGAGCTTGTAAATGACTTCTAAACAAGTCAATAGCTTGTAGCATTTGATGGAAAGAAGGAAGTGTGGGAGTATAAAATGGAATGTAGGCTTCATAGAACCATTTGGAGATGTATCGCAATACATCCTCCATTTTCTTCTTTTTAAACTTGGAGTCCACCGTCGGTTGTTTCCCCTTTGCTACTATTTGGGCAATCTCCTCGGAAGAACGAGAGGCAAAGGAGTCCATTGGTCCAATTACCTTGTGGGAGGATGACGAGCTTCTTTGACTACTCAATGAGATTGAGTTATGCTCCTCCTCATCCTCCCCGATATGCACCTCACTCAACAAGATATACATTTTCATCTCCTTCTCGTCCTTACTCTTCTTTACATTATCTATAATTTCGAAAACTTGTCTTAAATCATCGAGAACTTTCACACACGGCGCGCAATTTCCCCTCTTTCCGGCTAGGTGTTGTTTGAATCGACTAATCCCACCATTGAGAATTTGAGTGCAATATTTGCATTTAACTTCATTTATATCGGAACCAACTCTCTCCCCATATAGCCAACATGGATCTTTACAGCCCATTTTTGGTGTTATTGACGATCTAGTAGATCTTTGTCCTTTGGACGACATGATTCTGCAATAATTAACAAGATAACAAATATGGATTTAGACAACCAATTATATTTACATATTTAAATCAATTGTATATTTAAATTGACAAATTAAATAATTATGCATTATTCAAAGCTTATTAAAATACCAACTACCAAGTCCATTATTCAAAGCTTATTAAAATTATGAATCTTCAAACAATAACTGATTTAACAGTAATTGATAACAAACAATAAACAAGAAAAGGAATCAAGAGGGAGGCTTACCTGATTTTGAGACAACAAACAAGAAAAAGGAATCAAGAGCTACTCCTTTTACTCAGCACAAAGCCACAAACTGAAACTGCAAGAGGGGGGAAAATCAGTCCACTGCAGCCACAATCTGAAACTACAAGACAAACTCATAGAGAGAGACAGAGAGAGAATGAAGGAGGCTTACCTGACGCTGAGGAGAGCTCGAAGTTTGGCCGTCGTTGTCGCAAGGAAGAGGGAGAGGAAGAGGCGGCGCCGGTGATGGGTGGATTCCGACGTCGTAGGGAGGCAGTGCCAACGACGAGACATAGGGGTGCCAAACCGTATCCGTATCCGAGGAAATATCCGTAACCGTATCCGTTAGGATATGAATATGGTTACTCAAATCTATTACCGATAGGATATGGTTGCGGATATGGTTTTATAGTAAAATATCTGTATCCGAAAATATCCGAATACATATTGGTAATACTCTTACGATAGTTTCGATTCTTAGATTATGGATTTGTGGTTAATTTTGATGATCAATATGTCTAATCTTAGCTTTTCAATCATAATGAACATATTAACGAACTCTTTTTGTATCACATGACTATATTTTTCTGAATACTATCTAGTTTTTTCATATCCTTTTTGCATCCGCATGCATATCCGTTTATATATCCGCATCTATATTCGTAACCGTATCCGATTTTGGCGGATATGGATATGAATTTTTCTTACCGACGTATATCTGTATCCGTATCCGTATCCGAGATGGGTAAGCGGATATGAATATGATAAGTGCCATATCCGAGCCGTTCTGCTCCGTTAACACCCCTAACGAGACGTCGCAGGGAGGCAGTGTCGGGGCTTTTGTTCTTCTTCTTTGTCTACTCGGGGTTCTTTGAATGAGTCACCGACCACCCTCTTCCCTTTATCCCGACGACAGGATACCCTGCAACCCTCGGGTTCGTTAAGGTCCGGATTTCAAGGCACAATGGGAGATGGACGACGGGGACCGAGAAGGTGGGGAAAGGGAATCGTCATTCACGAAAGGAGTGATGGGGGAAGGGCGTCGTCCGCTGCATCCCTAATTTTTCTCTTTTCTTTCTATCGGGTTCATAAGAAACCCTTAAACATGAGAACAAATCAAACGGGTTTGAGTTTTTATCACTAAACCCAAACTCAATAATAAAAAACAGATCTTAAAAATAGAGCCATATCAGCCGATTTTTCAAAGCTAAAAAATCGACCGACATACCCGATATAGTCTCGATATTTTTGATTCGACCCTGAAAACCGACATACGAGTTAAAAACCCCCATGTCGTGTCGCTCAAGCCCTCAAACCGACTTTAAAACCTTGCGCCAAAACACTCTTTTTGTTGAACATATCACCACTGGAGTTGTGGTGTCCATATACGCACTTCTTTACAATGTCCACAACCAAAATTCTGATTATTACATCGCTATCTTGAATCTGAAAAAAATTGAAAAACAACGAGTGAGCTAAAGCTCAATGAGAACATTTCCCAGTAGAATTCCTAAATATCTAACAAAATAAAATAATATTTTTTAGAAATAGTGAATTATAAGTTCGGCACAAGATATTCAAAAAAATGGCAAGACATGGTCCACAATAATGCATTATTGTTATATTCAAGAAAGAAAGTGCAAACTAAACATATCGTACGTTTTCTGAAACCAAGGTCTCTTTAAAAACAAGTAATTATTAAGAAAGAAAATAAACTATTAAACTTGAAAAAACCAAAATATTATTATTTTCTTAGAATCTCAAATCTCGATGAAACTTACATAAAATGTAAGAATCACCTCATAGGTCACACTAAGGCTGCGAATTATAACCCAATAGCATGGTAATACCAAAGGCATCACATATGACATAACACATAGTTCCCGAAACAAAATACACCTAACTTTGCCATAGGTTGTCGGTCACATCACAATACCCAAAAAGAACCACATCGCAAATGCCAAGAGGCCACATCACAAATAACCATAACGGGCCACATAAAGGTGCATTTTAACCATATAGCAAGCACAAGCACATCACTTCATAGTGAACTTTCTGAGGGTTTGAAAACATCAAGAATCGCTTGTCAAATGGTTGATTTTGGAAACACATCTCTTGACAAATTATTTGATTTCAAACAACACCACCTAAACGATTGCTAATTTCAAAACTCATTAGTAGTCACATTACTTGATCTCGAAAACACATTGCTTGTTACAAAGTACTACTGGTATAAATTTATTCGCTTGTGAAAATTTCAAACAATCCCAAATTAAGTGAGCAGGAGTAAGCTCATCATATCAATTTAAAATGGTTCAACAAATTCGCTTTATTTACTTTTATTCCAAATATCAAATCACGAAAAATCTATTGAACTCGTTAAACTGCTGAAACACAATTAAACCACTTATTTCATTGATAACTTTCAAATAAATCGATATTCACAGTTATTTGGGATCACGTGAGAATCAAAATCACTTATCACATTTATATAAAATCAAATTTATTTTCAATATCTCATAAGTCAAAAACCATATTATGAGTTAGGTCGCAATAGAATCGATCAAATCATATATCATATTCTACACATAAGCAAAATAGAATAATTTTTTTTTAAACACAAGATCAATCCACTATAATACGCATGGAATTTTATATTATAAAACAAATACTAGTGAGAAATGAACTCACCTCTAGTAGACACGACTTCCTCAACTATTTCTCCTTCTGATATCAACATGATCCTATAATGTAAATATATAGGACTAATATTAATTCAGGACAAGATATCACTTCAAAATTTAGAATCAATCAGATTCAAGTATAATCAAATAATAATTACCTATAAATAGCATATGCATCGGCTTTTTGCCAATCTCAGCAATTTCCCTAATCCTTGTACATATACATATATGTATTTATGTACACATGTGTATATGTGTGTGTGTGTGTGTGTGTATATATATATATATATATATATATATGCATCCATCGAAAATTTCGTGAGCAAAATTTTAAAACATCCATTGAAAATTTCGTTAGGAATATTGGAGCAAGTATGATTCAATCCTTTGCACGAAAATGCTCCCATCACCGCTGATACTACACGTATCATGCAAGAAACTGTTAAGTGCATATGATTTAAGATATTCCCATATTCATTGTCTTCATCATTATCGTTCAAGTATGTCCAACTAAATGGAACGGAACATGCACTTCAGCTAAGAAGACTCCATAGAAGGATCAACCAAAAGATGGAAAACCTGCGACTAGTGGCACTAATTAAGCCACTAAATTTCTAGCCAGCAGCGCAGTTTTCTGCAGAACCTGGGAAGCCAATTGCAGGTCAAAAAAATGCACTCTACTAGTGGGGATAGTCTAAGACGATGTAGCAAGCAAAAACTCTCCAAGACTAACTCTGGATGAAGGGATAATAAATAACCAGCAAACAAAACTAGAAAGCAGAGAGCAGCAAAAAATCAATCTAATACATCAAAAGTCAAGAGAAAGCTACATTGTATCTAAAAAATGTGTTCCTGTAGCCCAATGAGATCGAAAGAGACACAACACAATAATTTGCCCTGTTGTGGAGTTCTGCATTTTATGGCGTAAGATGAACATTTCCAAATGACCAGCCTGACATACATGCGAGAAACTAAGAACATAAGGTGTACAGCACCAACTCTTATATAGTCCAGAATTTACTTGCATTCATTTGGTCAGCCACAGATTCCCTTCTACATCTGCCAATTGGTTACGCACTTAATACCTTCAGAGCTAACGAGTCATAATTAACTAATAAGTATGTCCAAATTTCTCATTATGGAAAAAGAAGCATATTACTAGACTCCATGAATAGGGCATCTATTTTGTCTGCAGCATATCTAGTCTCATAACATCTCAAAACATCAAAAGTATAGCTCTTGTTAAGAGATCTCCCCCAGATTACTACCATCACAACTCATGAAAAATGACTAGCAAAGCAAAGTCAAATCTTCCATAATGATGAGATGAAAATAAGAGATAAAGTCATTTGTACATGACCAAAGATGACCATCAAACAGGAATCGATCAAAAATACAATTCATGATTGACAGCGTGAAACATACAGAATACAAAGCATGTTATTTTCTATGTTTCAAATTATCTGTTTAGTATACTGAAATATCAAGCAGCATCACCAGTGGATGGAGCTGAGGCAAACATTAGAAAAAAGTGAGCAAGGACTTGCAAGTTGTTCTTGTTAATATTAAAACTATCTGGGTTCTAATCTACTTCTAAAGGTTTCAAGGCTACTACTAACCTTTTATATAATCTAGAACATAGGATTTCATATAATGGCTTCAAGGCTACTAACCTTTTATATGATCTAGAACACAGGAATTCGTATAGCCTTAAGTTAAAATGTTGAATATAATAGGGGGGTTATTGGTTGGTACAAGTTGCGGCCAAGTGCGATAATTGTTCTAATGGAACAATTTTATCCCTTTGGGATATTTTGAGTGGGGTAAAGTGGGATAAGTTACGATAATGTGACAATTTAAAGTTTTGATTTGATAATTCATGTGGGATAATTGATGATGTAACACCTTATTAAAATATAATATTTATCAATCAATTAATTCTAAATTAATTTATCCAATTAGTTTAGTATGTTACTTAGTATGTTATTATAATATAATACATTATTTTACTTTATACCAAAATACATTATACTATAATTAGTAAGTAATATTATTAATTATTATATTATATTATAATAGCATGCTATATTATATAAGAGTTGATATAATATACTTACAATATATTTAATATAATATATATTAAAGAATGTTGTATTATACTATAAGTCTATATTACAATAGAGATTAATGGGTATCCTTGTCATAGGAGGGGATTTCCTCCTTGACGCCTCTAAAATCACATGATTGAGCGACATTATGGATTATCCGCTCCGTTGAACTTGATCTACATATTCTAAAACCCTAACACACCAAGTTTGTGGTGAATCCGTCGTCGTTTGACCCTCCATCAAGCCATGTGAAAAGTTCTATTCATTCAAAACCGTTAAAATTGATACGAGTGGATGAAGAGTCAAACGACGACGGGTTCACCCCAAACTTGGTGTGTTGGGGTTTTAGAATATGTAGATCAAGTTCAACGGAACGGATCATCCACAATGTCGCTCAATCATGTGATTTTAGAGGCGTCATAGGAGGAAATCCCCTCCTATGACAAGGATACCCATTAATCTCATTACAATATATGTCTATGGTAATGCCATAGATTGTATCAAAAAATTAATTTAGATTGTAATCCACAGAAACAATAAAGTTGCTTCCTTTTATAGACAACCAACCCCGACATGGCATCATAAATGCCCCCAGTAAGATCTTGCCGACTCGAAGGCCTAGTATAACAAACATGAATCGCATCAAATCATACCTTCTTATCCTCCGGCGCAGCGAACGACGTCTGTTTCTTGGCGGTGGCCGTCGGCGAATAGAAGGCCGAAATTGATGAGGAAAGAGCCCTAACTCATTTGATGAAGCAGGTGATCCTGAAAACCCTAATTCCAACAAGCCACTTGATGACCGAGTGACGAGGGTCTTCGATTGGAAGAAGGGGTTCTTTTCTCGGTAGGGTTCAGCGAGCAAAATAGGACATTCGTCATTCGTCATTTCTACAATTTGCAAGCTGTGTAAACGGGTCGGATCGCGTTCGGTACGAAGCGGGTCACAATAAAGATGGGTATTCGTGGCCCGGCTCCGATTTAGATCCTATAGACTATAGTGTTTTCTCTCTCTCTTTTTTATTTTTGATTGATTGATTGATTGATAATAATTCAGCTGAACTTCTTATTTTCTCTTGCGGCCTATGTTTACATAATCACATTGGGCTAAGTATCACAAAATTCTCCTTGAGTTAGGGTTTTTTTTTTGCAATTTATTACGGATGATTCGGACGGTTTGAAGATTCTAATATAGACGGTTAACATTAAGATTTTATCAAAACCCCTGCATTTGCTGATAAAATCTTAAAGTTAAGAAGCGTTATTCTGATAACCCTTTGAAACCCCTAGTTTAAAGGATTTTTTTATTATATATTTAGCCTTTACGTTATTCAAATCCTCTATACATTGTTCGTTTACAAGTGGGTATTTTATTCATGTGATCTCCTCTAGTTAGCTACACCGAACCACTACATAGAGTTTTATTACATATCCGTACACATAAAAAATAAATTATTTGGAAGCATAAAAAAAACAACTGTTTTGTACTATCTAGAAAGAAATTACGAAGCTTTATAAACATATAAACATTAGACATCAATCAAAATTTTCAACTAGTTGTTTTGTTCCTTGTCTAGCTTTCTCATGCTCACTTAGTTTGCCTAGGGTGTCCAAAAAGTCTGCCGGTCTGGACCTGATCCGGAGCCCGGAAAGAAATTACGAAGCTTTATAAACATATAAACATTAGACATCAATCAAAATTTTCAACTAGTTGTTTTGTTCCTTGTCTAGCTTTCTCATGCTCACTTAGTTTGCCTAGGGTGTCCAAAAAGTCTGCCGGTCTGGACCTGATCCGGAGCCCGGAAACTCATACCAAAAGTTAAAAAGATTTTTAATCCTATGTCGTTCTCCAATTGCACCTAAACATAAGAATGAACATGAGTATTCTATTCCCACACACATTTCATACCATTCTTTACTTCATTCCATTATGAGTTGATTCAATTCCCGGGTATTAAACGAGGCGTATCATGTCTACTAAAACTTGGACAATTCACTAAAACAGAAAATTCCAAACTAGTTGCATTCAAATCCTTTGCACTACAATATTAAATAGTAGACAAATTATTATATTTTTCTTTATATTTTTCAGTTTTATCTCCAACTCGGTCAATATTGAAGAACTCAACCAACAAAATCATAGAGAATATGAAGCTATATCTCCTATGAACACACGCCAAAATTGAAAGAAACTTAATATTACCATACTAATCTAATTCACATCATTCACACATACAGAAAAACACATATATGAAAGACGAAAGCAACCTTTTTCTTCCATTATTTAGCTTGATTTTCTTATTATTTTCTTTGAAAGCTTGGCCAACCTACACCTCCCCAACGCCCTTCTTAAAAAAATTTTAAATATTTTATTAAAGAGATAACAATAGCTTACCAGTAGCCCCTAAATATATACTTCATAAATTGTACACAAAGGAGAACAATCCCAATTCCGTAGAAATAAGATGAAGATTTATTAGCATGCGCCATTATCATTATCATTCTGTACTGAGTTGAGTATACTCAAAGTTATAAGTTAAAAGGGATTCCATATTAAATTTAATACATATTTGGATTCTCTTCAGTATCAAAAAATAGTATAGAGACCATTGATTTTAATACAAACTATTGATTAGTAAATGAAACGTAACTGACAATTGCAATCCATTCTGAATATATATAACACTCATAATATCCTCATAAATTACACTCATTTCAATTTACACTCTAGAAGAAAAATTACAATCTTCTCTTAATCAATCTTTCCAATGATTCTAGTAGCGAAATGATCCAAATCCATTTAGCATGATGATGGAGAATAGATTAGTACTCGCCCATTGTAGTCCCGTGCCCGCGCCTCCTGCACCTCGTTGGGTTCCCTCCGAAGAGACTTTTGTGTCGCATCGTTAGGGCCCAACACTTAAACCATAATTTATAGCTTAGTAATGGCCAACTAACTTAATTAATTTTTCAGTAGCTTTCTAGCATTGTCTTAATTAATTTTGTGACGTTCGTCGGCCGACCACGCCACTGTTTTGGTTTTCTATCTCTCTCTTAGGTATCGCCCCTAGATGGAAAAACATTTATTAATTCAATTAATACTAAGAGAGAGAAGTTTGTTCGAGATTAAAATAACAGATTAATTTGATACAGCTTAAAAATTTTGGAGGCCTCATTCGAAAGTTATTTAAACTGAACATTTGGAAGGCTTAAAGCCGAAGTATCCTAGTATAGTATGACAATTGCGCAATTTGTATCTGTATTATATGCAAAGTGTAGAGTCAAAATTCACTCGGTCACTCCTTCATGGATGCATTAAAGATGTCTGTTTCCATGCATTTTGCACTCTTGTATTTAAAAAATGGGACCCACGAGTAAAAAATTATGGATTCTTAGCAAATACATTGTTTGCTTATTATTTTTAATACGCAGATGTGGGATTGCCACATAGTGGTTAGATGCATCAAATATAATTTCCTAATATTATGCTGATTTTAACCGAATTTTTCAACCAAATTTGTGAATTTAATCACATATTCTCAACAAACTTCATGTACAACTAAACATATTTTGATTGGATTTTATCTCTCATATAAATCTTCTTTAATATCCATCACAAACAAACACGATTTTATTTATGGGATTCTCAAAATCCATTACATGCATCAAAACTAATCAACAAACCAAATAGCCCATAAATGACATCATGAAAGTCATCATTACAAATCCATCCTTTTTTCATCCTTAATCGAGAACATGTCATGAATCAATGATCCTCCATCTTCATATGATAACTTACAACTCCTTATGAAGATATAAACATTTTTCAACAATGTTTATTTCGAAGACAGAGATAGTATATAGTATATAAGTATATATAAGTATACTCTCTCTTATATAAGTATATATATGTATATATAAGTATATAGTGTGTACTCTCTTATGTATATATATTTATACTCTCTTATATAGTATATAAGTATATATAAGTATACTCTCTCTTATATAAGTATATATATGTATAAGTATATTCTCTCTTATATATGTATAATATATATGTATATATATATTTATACTCTTATATAAATATAATTATATATGTACATATAAGTTTATGTTTATATATGTGTATATATCATACTCTCTTTAAAAGCACGAGTTCAGGAAAATCTTTCTATGGTCAGTATTACCCTTAGCTTTTTTTTGAATATTACATTGTTATTCTAATCTATTCTAATTTTAATCATATCTTATCTAATTCCACGTAAACTATCTATAGGTCAACAATTTAAAAAAAGTTATTTTGAATATTTCACTTAAATCTTAATCTATCCAAATACTAATTATATCCTATATTAACTCCATATGAACTACCTATAACTCAAAAATATAAAAAAAAAAGATTAAGAAATTATATGTAGATAACATATTATAATACATGAAGTATTATAAAAAAAACCCAAAATTTTTAAAAATTGCATATAATAGCCTTAAAAGTTTAAAATTACACAAAACACCTTGACTTTTTTAAACTTCAAAACAAACATGATATCTAAAAATTTAAAACTTGTAATTAACACCCTCAACATTTTAAAAACTGTAGAAATAATTTCAAAAGTTTAAAGGCTAAATTACATTTATATACCCTATGTGTTTCGCTCTTGAAGCAGTTATATACCCTAAGTTACAAAATATTGTAGGCATCAAAAATTGCCTATATGTCCTCCACGAACAGCTCAGTGTTAAGGAACGACAATGAACGTCACTATCTGGTTCACAAGAGTTCGATTGATGTCGGTGAACGCTTGAAGTGAATCAACGAACTACGTGAGCTGACAGAATTTCAGAATAACGAAGGCACGGGCTAATTAGGAGCCCCGCAATGTTTACAAAGGGAACAATGCCCTTCGTTTCCCATTCATTCTACAGATAATCCAACCATCGGGGCTGATAGAACTCTTCGTCAGAATTCCAACGCAATTCGAATCACTAAAATCCGAGTTCGGACGAATAATTTACAGCGCGGCGTCCTAGATTCTTGGGGACACCCAGGGGCGTCCTAGATTTTTGGGGACACCCCAGGGGCGTCCTAGATTTTTGGGGACACCCCAGGAGCGTCCTAGATTTTCGGAGACACCCCAGGGGCGTCCTAGATTTTCGGGGACACCCCAGGGGCGTCCTAGATTTTTGGGGACAACCCAGGGGGCGTCCTAGATTTTTGGGGACAACCCAGGGGCGTCCTAGATTTTTGGGGACACCCCAGGGGCGTCCTAGATTTTTGAGGACACCCCAGGGGTAAGAGGGCTAGATGGCATAATGGTACAGAAGCACGCCGAGTCAGCGTTCTAAAATGCGTATGCTTTCAATCAATCTGATGGCATCTTTTTTGGTTATAACCAGAGAACCATCCATGAAAGACATCCTCTCGAACGATTGTCGATGATAAAATCCGTGATGGGAAGGGGATAAATCATCTTTTGGCAAACAGCGTTGAGGGTTCTAAAGTCAACTACAAGCCCTGATCTCCCGTTTCTTAAGGACGGACAATATGGCTAAGCCATTCTGGATGTTTCCTTCCCTAATGAAGCCCGAGTGAAACTTTTTTCCCTCAGGCTTCGATCGCCTCATCATTGCAGGACGAACCGTCTTGTTTGTTGTTTGATATGGTTTTGACATCGCGATTAATTTGAGACGATGCAGCTGTACGTTTGGATCGAGCCCTGCCTGTTCATTATTCAGGCGAACACCTCGATGTATTCCTGTAAGAGAGATTATACTCTTCTTTCTCTTGGGTAGGAGACTGTCGCTGAATGATACGGCTTCGGATTTTCCTCACTTCCTATATTCGCTGGACTACTTGATCTTTGGTAGGAGGTTTCTTTGATTCGAACCTATCACATACTGCATGTTTAGCGTGATGAACCAAGATCTTCCCATTCGGCATCTGTCGTCTCCTCTATTGTGGTAGGATGCGACCGAACATGTTGACATACAACTTTTTGAACATCCACCGATCTAGTATCGTGAATCCCAACTGAAGAATTCAGATGAGTTCCGTTTCTAGCTTTGGTTAGCAATTTGATTCGATGACTTGCCAGCACCATTGCATCGTCCGGATGAGGAGACTTACAAGATTTTTGTGGCGATAATAATCATCAATTTTTCACCTTTGGTACATAACCATTCGATGGGGGGTGGAACCGTCGGCGGCATCTCGCCACAGCAAAGACTTTCCAAGTGTGAAGTCATAACCTACCTTCTCCATTAGATCGCGCCGGCTTTTGCGTCATATCTAAATAGATGAGGGCAGGTTATCTCATCGTTCTTCTTCTTCTAAGAAGTGATCGGGTATCGGCAGCTTCCTTTCCTTTGGCCCGATAGACGACTCTTTCCACCATGTTCCAGCGGGATGACAAGCGTCGTCCGTATGGGTCTTGTACTGTTTTTTCGTCAGCAGACAAAATTGATTGAAGTGGCATA